CCGCCTCCTCCGACCCCCCCCTCCTCCTTCAGCCTGCGGTACTGCCGTGGTAACACAACACTGACCGGTGCCCGTTGCCATGGCGACCGTTCCCCTGAGAAACCCCCAGCATCCTCGGCAACCACAGGGCGACTCCCGGACACACACACAGCGTTTCAGAAGAGCCGTTTCTAGTAAAGGAAGGTGGAGATTCACCTTTCTTTCCCATCAGCAGGTCTAACTATAGACGGAGAAGGGAGGCCGGGGAATATACAGAGCAGGAGACAGACGGACACCGAGGAGGAGGAGGAGGAAGGGAAAAAAAAAACAACAAAAAAAAACACCGAGCCGAAGAAAGAGACAAATAATAGATGCTGGGTGTGTGTTTGTGTGTGTGTGTCTATCTCTGTGAGGACCGGGCTGGGTTTGGGATGATTCTCACGTTCCTTCAGAGGTCTGTCGGACTTGGTTTTAGGGTTAAGAGTAGAACTAGGTTTAGGTTAGGGGGGATGCATCGTGTCAAACATGCGCGGCATCGGTTACAGAGACAAACGACCGGTCAGAGGTTTGTGAGTGGGATTAAAAACAGCTAACATTAGTCAGACAGCTGCCTTGATACTTCTACAACTACAGATAAAATGGATGAAGCTGTGCAGACTTTGTCGTATTTGTTTGATGATGTGAAAACCAAGAAGCTAACTGCTCCTACAGTCTGCTACCACAACTGTACATAATCATGAGACGGATATATCAGGACTTGTTGGTTAAAACTTGCTGGCAGAGCTTCAGATTGCAACAGAAATGGTTGCACATGCTAACGTGTGTGATGCTAGTTTGAACCTCCTTAACCAATAGTTGACAGTCTTCAATTACTAATCAATTAATCAATAACACACAACATTATTTGTTGTGGTGAATCCACCTTGGCCGACATAAGCCCTTCATCTGAGGTCAGCAATCAGTTAGCAGTGATGCAACAGCGCATTTTAGCTCGCTAGCTCTGGTCGGTTGATATTAACAGTTAAATTAATATCACATGCTTTGGCTGTACCAGCGCTACCGGTGGAAAAGTTTGTGAAAACCCACCTGCTCCCAAACAGGAATCAACAAATTTGATTGTATATCAGACGAAATATATCAAACTGCTAGCGCTAGCATGCTAACAATCTCTTCAATAGCACTTAAAGCTAGCATGCTGACAAAATCATTGCAGCAGAACCAGCAATTTCTGTCTGTTTTATTTCAAGCATTCTTCTCCTCTTTTAAACCCGGTAGCTACATTACCCACAATGCAATTCAAGTTGACTGTCAACGTACTAGCTATGCTAATGGAAGCTATTGCGGTTTATGTAGCCTTTGGTTTTGTCATGGTAAAATGAGGAGCAGTTGCTACAGCTCTAACTAGCTTGCTTCTTTCATACAGGAAATTAAAAATTTATTTTGAAACCTTTAGCCCAAAGCGACGCTAACTCAAGCGGTATCACGTGCTTCACAATACTTGCCAAGACCTCTTTGGCAACACGCTAGCACTCTTATGCTAGCATGTAGACAGTTAGCATATTTCACAGCATGAAAACAGGAACCACTAGCAGCAGCAATGAGAGCTACTTACGGGAGCTGACGGTGTCCACGTATTGAGGCAGGTAGGGAGCCCACATGTCGATGGTGTCCTTGCGTCCCGATTGGCCGATCCTTCTCAGCTCAGCCAATAGAAGAGCTTGTGCCGCTTCTCGTACCTAAAACCACAACGAGGCTAAGTTACGGCGACAGCTACAGTGACACATACTTTTTATAGTCTTCGAGTGAGAAGCCACGTTGGATATCATCAGCACTTTCACTTCAGCAGAAATAAACTGATTTTGTCGCGTTTTATGTAATTTTATATTCTTATATTCATTTCTTAATTTAAAAGAACTGCATATTTAATTTACTTACTTAACTAAGCTGTACAGTCCGTTTTTTAGACCACTAACTGTGGAGCTAATTTAGTCAGCAACTAATAAATTCATCGCCAACTGTTAATAACTGGTAGAAGCAATTTTTTAAAGAAAAAAAATCCAAATTCTTTGATTCCAGCTTCTTAAACTCGAATACTTTCTTTGAGTTGAGGACTAAACAAGACATCTGAGCTCTCCTTCTCGGGTTTGAATGACATTTTTCTCTATTCTGTGACATTTTATTGAATACACAAATCTGTCTTTCAATCGACAAAATTATTGACAATGAAAACACTTGTTAGTTGCAGCCCTTGGTCTTTGAGGTACAATACACAGCACGCATAGAAAACTAAAGTGTTGCAGATGCATTCAGAATGCTCTAAGACTCTTCAGATACGCTAAACCAAATGTTTTCAACAAAAATGTATTCAGTGCATCTTTAAGTTTCTTTTAATGTACAAATAAACATCGTTTAAGCAGCTCAGCATGCAGTTCTAAATACCTCCAGACAGCGGTCCTGCCACCTCCTCGCCAACATCTCCAGCAGCGGAGGTCTGAACTTGTCCAGTCCGAGGAGGTCAGGTAGCATCACGCAATGCATAGCTGCCAGCTGACTCCATCCTGCACACACATACATACACAGTCAGGAAGCACCACAAACAGGACTGGTGGACGAATTTAATCGCAAAATCTCTCTCGTACATCGACCTCACTGCTGTCACATAAAAACAGTTTCTAGCTCCACGGTGCACCTGAATGATGTTCAGCAGTTTAGGCTTTTTTAAAGCTCTGAAAGTCGTTTTTTGAAATTCTCACCAAACAAAACATCAAGACATGAGTTTAATATTATTTTTTTTCCAATCACTTATGACAACAGTGTATGTTTACATCACAATATTCCTCTTCGTTGCCCGTTTCTGGTTAAAAACATGTTTCCTAATGACAGCAGTGACGTCGTCACATCCTCGCTCATACACACCGACTTCAGCAGTCCTCGTATATAGAATCACACTAACGACAGTTAAACACAGGATGGAGATATCGCTGTTATCTGCAGTCTTGGTTAGAGCAAAGGTGTAATTTCTGCTAACCAGAGTCTGAGTATGTTCAATGGTGTTTAACGGGTAAACAACAGATATACGGCGCTGCCTCATAACGATACCTTGGCATGATGAATTCAAGTGTTTCATTTACCGCCAACACTGTAGATTTATGCTTAAAAACAGCAGAAAACCAAGTAGCTTGTCAGGATAAATGACGCTACAAGTGTACAGCCGTTTATCTCGTTTGTATTATCCTCAATGAAGAACATTCAAAATGTCTTGGTATCGCTTTAAAGGGGCTCAAACCTGAGCAGAGATAATGGAGGATATTCATATCTTAGACCAAACACCAGAGAAATACACACCAGCTTTTACACGTCTCTGACAAAAAAATGCACTTAAATATTTATTTGGCCGATACTCAACATAAACCAAGCACCTTGTTCACATATATTAGCTCAATATATGGTTTTCCAGAGGAGATGCATGTATGTGAAATGCACTTGTGTGATGGACACTGAATGGCGTTTAGGCAGGAAAGAAATTTCGTTTGAATTTCTTTGCCGGGGGCACCATGTGAACTTACCTCCGCCAGTGAAATATACAGAGAAAACTCAAACCGTTAGGTGCTTTACAGGAGTATTCTACGTAGAGGTTGACGGATTAATCGTATATCTTTACGCCCAATGTGTCTCCAAAATGGCAATCATAACGAAATGATCCATCAACCTCTACTTGCAGCTTTGCGTCACTGTCTTGCAGAAACCTCAAATGTCAAAAACAGGAATGTGAAAGGACCATTTGTGTTAAACTAGTCTCTAAAATCAGACTTTAAAGTGTTACCTTCCACCACCAGTGTTAATACGTATTAAAGCCTGCGACTTTCTTCTTGATTCAGACTGTTGTCTAAATTTTAATGAAGCAAACTCTATGCTTACGGCTAATGGTAACAATACCTAAAAGACCTTGTACTACTGTTGGTGCTACATGCTGATTCTACTGCTGCTACTACTTATACTGCTGTTGCTGCTAATGGCAACTACTATTACTACTCCTGCTGCTGGTACTGCTATGACTACTTCTGCTGCAAATAATTACAAAGCAGTACAGCTGGTAAAGTGTTTTAGAGCTGCTGTTGTAAGCTTTTTATTAAACTGTAAAGTCAGTCAATGGTAATACTTGATACTAGTCAGTAATATTACCAAAAGAAGTCAAGAAAGTGGGCTAAGAATAGAAACAATTCACAATGTGGTGATTTAACGTGTGATTTTGTTTTTTTTGAGACATATTTTCATTCATTGATATATTGGAATTTTGATAGAAGCCAAAACAAGAAGGAGAATTTGGTTTCTGCAGGGCAGTGTTTTGCGAATAAACAAACCTACTACAGTTGCAGTTTATCCCGACAGAAAATTTGAGTTAAATTTAAATATTCCTACATGTACTGGAAAGGAATGAGTCTCTGTGTGCATGCTTGCTGTTTCCCATTATAACAAAAAAAGAATTCCTGACCAGCTCTGTTTTAGTCCCTGGAAACTAAAGGTGATCAGCTTTGAAAGGCACTTAGTTCCCCTACAGAAACCACAAACGTGGAACTGTTTAAATAATCTGAGAGCACATTCGCTGTATGTGTGGATGGGGCAGCGAGCCTTCACGGTAAAAGCAACATCCTGTCAAAAAAATAAACAGTTGAAGAGAGCAAGTGAAAGTTACAACGATTACACTTCATCGTTCATTTCCAATAAAAACCTAAAACGATTAATACAGAATGTCATTCAGTCGTCTGCTTTTAAACTTCAAACACAATTTTTATTGCAGATTTAGACAGATGTGCTGCAGGTGAAATCAGCTAAATTTCAAACAAAGGACAGTTTTTAGTTGTTGCTAAGCACAAATTTTGGTTTTGGATTTGGTTGGTTTGAATTGTTGCTGTTAGGTCCCGCCCTCCCCGGTGACACGCTCAGGTGGAAATAGCAAGCATGCAAACAGTGAGCACAGAAACGTCAGGACATGTGGACGTTCAGACAGACAGGTAGACAGAAGAAAACAGGGCAGGACTGCACAATACTGCCAACAAGTGGGAAATAAAAAAAGACAAGAGACCAAAGTCTAAGGACTGCTGTCAGTACACTCTCAAATGCATCAGTAAAGTCCATCTGTTTGCAGACGACACTGCTCTCCAAATTTAGGAAACCTATCCTGGGTGATTTGGAAATTCTGAAAGTGGAAACAGGTGCTGGTATATTAGACAATCCAAAAGCATATTTTAGAGTATTTGTTGTAAATATCTTGGCCAGAAACCATTCCGTTGTGTTTGTACTGCCGGATTTGTACCGGGCAACATTACATTGCTCAATTCTTTTTTTGTACATTTTAGAGATATATTGGAAGTTAAGTAAAACTTTGGGACTTGTTTGTCTCTCCTTCAACAAGTCGGAGTGATTTTATAGATTCTGCTCTACCAGCTCTGCAGCATTCAAATTAAAAACCATCCATCTCTTCGGCTGACTGGATTGAAAGTGGACTGAAGTCAGCTATGACAGACAAGACGGATAAACAGACAGCGCTGTAGACAAAAAACAAGGACAAAGACGCTGCAAAAGACTGGAGCTAGACACCTGAGATGAAAACCTAATACTGGCTGCAGGGAAAAACAAGACGGATGCAAGAGAAGAGAAATGAGGTGACCAGATCCAAGGAGGAGGGAAACGGGGAAAAAAGAAACAGAGGGGAGATGAGGAATTGTGACGCCAGAAAGAGAGAGGGGGGCAAGTCAAGAGAGAGTATAAAAAAAACAGAAATAGGAAAGTATAGCTGGGAAGAAAAGAAAAAAAAACAGATGGGAAGGACTGAAAAAAACTAAAGGAATGATGGAAGAGAAGAAGGTAGAAGATCTAGGAAGCAGAAGATCTCCAAAGACAAAGTTCATTAACTGAGAGAAAAGAAAGAGCATGGCTGCCAGACTTTTTCCTAAGTGAACCCGTCAGTTCAGTCTGTACCTTCGTTGACTGAGGGGATGTTATAGGGGCCGGGGGAGCCAGGGGCCCCGTGAGGAGGGATCCCAGGGGCCCCTGGAGCCCCAGCAGAGGCAGCAGTGCCGGTGCTGGCCGCTACAGCAGCTTGTAAAGGAAGACAAGGAGAGAAATAGTCAAGAAGGAAAGACCAGGTTAGAAAGATTTAAATGTATATACAGTACCGAACGGAGAGAGGAGACAAGCAGTCGGGCAGCAGGGAGGAAGAACATGTAGTTACAACAAAAAGAAGAACAGAAAAACACAAAAAAATAGAAGTAAGAAGTTAGAACAAAGTCGAAAAAAGGTAAATAAAACATGGATGCATTTCAGTTGTCAGAAAAGAGAGAAAAATCAATGACAAGATGAGTAAATCACCAAAGACAAGAACGTTTTTAACACCTTTTAGAAAATGTGACGAATGCTGATGGTAATCTACAGCTTCCTGAGGATGATACGGTACACAAATGTCCAGCTTAGGCAAGCTTTTTAAACATTTAATAGTTCGACTGGATATGTATTGTAGTTATTTAGAATTCAAATCTTCTCCCGAAGTCTAAAAGAAGAATTTATATCTCCATAACATCATGCTTTCAGGACAAACTTGTCTTTTATAGGGCTCCTTATTACTGAAAGCTGCAACTCTGCCGCAGATATCTGCTTTGTAAAATGTAAACAGATATGCTAGTTTAATTCTGGCCCAACATAACTGTAGCTGAAGATTCCCATTCATTCAAGATATTCAATTTTAGATATTTCAGTTCAGTCAGAATGACGCTGTAGACATCTTCAACTGAGATTGCAACCAGTCAAAGCGTATTTTCAGATATCTTAAATTAGAGTTTTGAGTTGATGAGATGACGTTGCAGACATCTGGAGTTACATCAGAAGCTACGACCATCGCAACCGCCATTACTTTGTTGGAATAACATCCAATGGGAAACCTCACCTGAGCAGCGTCATGCACAACAACAAGTCTTAGAGACATTTGAGATATCTGCACCTATTCTCTGGCTGTTCTCAAACAACGGTATTGATTTCTGTCATTTTAGTTCCGGTTAGTCAAATTCTGGCATTAAACGTTAAAAGGCTTGCCATATTTACCACCTTTACACCCCTCGTGAATGTTGGCACTTCCAGATCAACCAACCGTAGCATAGCTTGGCTGGACATTCGGCGGCAGGAGTTGGTAGAAGGATGAGTTGCAGAAAGTCCAAATGAAAAGACTACAGCAAATGGATGCATACTCGTCCATTTCTACTGATGATAGCAACTAGCTATGTCATATATGATAACTAATGTTGGAAATAATACCTAATAGCAGCATTAAGCATTAGTATAGTTGATATCACCCAACTTTGGGGTAGCTTTATAAGTTGTGGAATAACTATTGCTATCAGCTGCCTACAGTTAACCTTCTTTGTTAGAAAATGTGGCCCTTTTTACAGTTAGACTCACCACAAAAACCGTTAAGAATACTGTTATGGTGTAACACCGCTGAAGCTAAAAGCTCACATGCTGCTTGCTATTTAAAGATAGTTTGAGGTAATTGTAGGTAGTAGCTGCT